GGGAACCACAAAAGCTAGGCGGCTGAAATTTTGGTATAGTTTTCCCCGCCAACGGGTGACGCGGCAGATTTAAATTCAGCCTTCCCTTGCCCGCGGGTAACGCGTACGGCCCCGAGAAAGTTTTTTACGGGTAAATTAATATCTCAAGAACCACGGAGTCTAGGAGGCTGAAATTTTAGGGTAATGACCCCCCGCCCACGCCCAACCTTGCCTACTCAAATTCAGCGTTCCCTCCTTGTTGAGTATCACCTACGGCCTCGTGGGAATTTTGGCGGTTAAACTATTAACTCCGGAATCATGGAAAGATATTCACCCTTCAAGGTTTCGAATTCAGCTTTCATGCGCTTAACTATTAACTTGGGAATCACGGAAAGATATTCATCCTTCAAGGTTTCGAATTCAGCTTTCATACGCTGTGCGTGAAATTTTTAACTGTTTTTCAATGTTTGAACTACTTTTGCATAGACTAAAGTACAAAGCAGTGAAAAAAATTAACTCTGGGATCAAGGAAAAATATTCATCCTTCAAGGCTTCGAATTCAGCTTTCATGCGCTAACTATTAACGCGGGAATCACGGAAAGATATTCATCCTTCAAGGTTTCGAATTTAGCTTTCATACGCTGGTGCATCGGGAATCACGGGAAGATATTCATCCTTCAAGGTTTCGAATTCAGCTTTCATACGCTGGTGCGGGGAATCACGGAAAGATATTCATCCTTCAAGGTTTCGAATTCAACTTTCATACGCTGGTGCATGAAATCTTTTAACTATTTTCCAATGTTTGAACTATTTTTGCATAGACAAAAGTACAAAGCAGTGAAAATCATAAATAGGCAATCGTTCGATGGGCTGAATTGCACAAAACGCATGATTGCACCAGCTGGTCTGGTGCGCGTTGCTATTTATTCCACTTTTTCGCTGTTATCTCAGATGTCAGCGGTGTGCTTCGGCGTTACAGGGAGCAGGCATAGCTGTGCCTGAGCCCCCTGCTCTTCTGGGTTATTTGCTTGTAGTTAATACTTTGCTCTGACATTCAAGATTTTCCAAATAATCACCACTGTTTAAAACATCCGGGCTATATAAGCGTTCAAATTCCGTTGCAGTTCGATGTGCGCGAAGATGAGGAACAGCTGGCGAAATTGCAGGATATTATCGATCTTCTCGTCGCCGCAGGCTATTTTCGCGCACGGATTAAATCCATACCTCCGTTTGACAAGGTTTTTTTACTTATCATAGAGCCTAATTTTTCATTTACAAAAGTCGACGCCCGCCGTTGGATGCAGCAAGTCTGAAGGCCCCTCCAAATGACTACATTTTTACTGAATGGCTGTGAGGAACTTACTAGGTTGACAAAAAAAAAAATGTGTCATATTTCGAACGTCTCTGTGAGCGTGTAAAAGCTAACCTCCGGTCGTTGAATTTTTGCAAATGTCGCGGTGAAATTTGACAATATTTTGAAAAAAGAGACCTTTTTTATTTCCCTTTCTCGTGATATTTCTGTTAGTATCAAATAAAAAATTTTCTAGTGTACTGGAAACTTTTATTTTTTTACTGCCGTAGATATTCTTATTAGTTTCGTGGGCGAAATCTGGATATCATTAAAATGACTTACACGGGTGTCAAAGTGGCTTACTGAGATATACGCCGGAAATCATAGAAATTTCACTCGTCCGAAGTCGCAGAAATTTCACTTAACCGCATTTTTCCTACCAAAAATTTCGCATTCCTTTAGGAAAGGGCTAAAAGTAAGAGGTGAATTTTAAATTTTAATGTACGTAAACAAGAGACATCCCCTCAAAATTTCAGCTTTCCAGTTTTTCTGGTGCTCGAGTTAGTTCTATGTTTGGTTTTCCAGCTGTGCATCTGACAGCTTTACCTGACACTTCCGAACAATCTCTTGGTGATTCAGTGCATTGGCAGTCCTGACTTTTTCCTGTGTTTAATGAACTACCTTTGTTCAATCAGAAACGGTTAGCAAGGCTTTGGGCTTCCAGAAATGCCACTGTTATATGTCTGGCTTTACCACTTCGTCATGCAGGTTTCCACCAGTGGTGGTAGGCCATGGTGTTGCTTTTACTAATATTTCTAAATCTTGCATGACAAAAATACCCTGGCGGTGAGTGGAAAATAAACAGAAAAAAGGGATCATTAATTTTTCTGGC